TCATGTCTCATGGAGTAATTTAACTCTATTCCAATTCCCCTTTGCAGGCGGGGTGCTCTCCATCTATGGAAGTGAGTTATGTGTGTTCAAGGGGTGCATCTTATGAATCTTGTTAAGTTTTGCTGCCTTATAGCCCCACTGATGGAATATTTAATCACAGAAATGAGTTGGCAGATATGATATACAATGTGGGTGTGCTTTGCAGTGTGTATCTTACTGGCAATTGAGAAACAGATAAATTTACCATTTGTCAGCACCATGCTGACAACCTTGTATAACCTTCTGTTATTTATTTTGATTCTGCTTTACTTATTTATGAAGATTAAAGGTGCTTTAAATCAACAGTTTCATTGGCTAGAAAACGTGATTATCTCTAAAAGATACTACTTTTAAATATATATGTATATTTTTATTGGACGACAAGGGAAATTATCAAAATGTAAGAATCCCTTCTGAGGCCTCTTCTTCCAGATTCTTAGAAACACTATTTTTAATTACATTAAATAACATGAAGCCTGCTACTAGTACGAAGAATCTCAGACAGTCTACTTCTCCTTACTGACTTCAATTTTACTTGAACTCTAAAGTAGAAGGGCTACAGACACTGGCCAAAGGCTTCCTGACTCACCTGGACTTGCGTGTGGGGACTTAAAATCATTTGTCTTCAATAAGCCTCAAGGACTATGGAGATGATTAGACTTAGGAGACATTATCAGTGCTGTTGTAGCTTTATAGAAAACCGCCCATCTCTGCTGGGAGAAGGTTTACCTTAATCTATGGCATGGAATGTGCTGATATATATCTATCTGCTCTGAAGACTGGAATGGAAAAACATTTAAAAGGGTTTTCATAAGTATGACTTGATGAGAATTCAGGGAAAAAAATGTTTTATAAGAGCTTTCTCAATGCTTCCTCTGGAATGCATGTGTGAGGGAAAAGGAATGTCATAATTTATCAAAGCAAATATTAATTAAAGGTCCTCACTAAGAAGTGCAATGGCTCTTCCTGCCCCCGCCCTGAGTTTGCAATAAAAACGTACTCAGGGCATCAAAAGGTTATATACAAAAATCACTAACTTGTATTTTTTTTTTCTTTTTTTTGAGACAGACTTTTGCTCTTGTCACCCGGGCTGGGCTGCAATGGCCGATCGATCTCTACTCACTGCAAACTCCGCCTCCTGTGTTGGAGCAATTCCCATGCCTCAGCCTCCCGAGTAGCTGGGATTACAGGTGAGTACCACCACGCCCGGCTAATTCTTTTGTACTTTTAGTGGAAATGGGGTTTCAGCATGTTGGCCAGGCTGATCACAAACTCATGAGACCACCCACCTCAGCCTCCCAAAGTGCTGGGATTATAGGTGTGAGCCACTGTGCCTGGCCAGTAACTTGCCATTTTATGATTCAGAAAGTAAATAGTAAGGAAAAGTCTACTAAATTAGGAAAATTACCTTTAGAAGAGATAGAAAATATTGATTTTAATTTAAAAAAACAGGTGAAATTTTCATGCCGCATTCTGGGAGACAATTGCAGACTGGGTTAATTCTGCATAAGCTTCATTATGTATCATAATGATACTATGGGGATATTATAAAATATGCCATTAACACACAACCTTATCTAGAGAAAGGACTAATACGTCCTACTTTCTATGTGAAGCAGATACAGAGCCAGTCCACTAAAAATACAAAGCAAATCAATGACAAGGTCTTCATTTCGGCTTTGAGGCATACTCAGAATTGCCAGATAAATTCAGATTATTTTTATAGCTGGGGAAATTTAAAATGCCCCATAAATTCTTAGTCATGGAAATGTAGATGCATGACAGTAATAATTATACCTGGATATGGAATGAATGCACTCTGCACCTGTCGCTATGCCTAGGTCTTATTCCATAGATGCAGGTGCCTGAAACTTCAGATTTAAGTCAGCTACTTTCGGCGTTTGCAGGTCTTCAACTATGTCATCGGAATTGCTCTGCCGTGTTAAAATTGCTGCAACATTTCCCCACATTTCTGAATATCATGAGCTCCGTCTACATACAACTGGACAGTTGAAAAGAAGGAAGCATGTGGATTTTCCGGATAATTGTGGCAGCATGACACACAAATACCCAGATTTCTGAGGTAAGACTTGCAGATATGGTTGTGGTGGTGGCCGCTGGAGTAGCACAGAATGATTATGTTACTTCTCTACCTTCATTTCGCTGGTTTGCACAGAGCAGCAGCATGATCACAGGAGACAGTCAATAAGAATCATGACCTTTAATATTTAGTAAAACAATAAACAGGTTGGGTGCATCACCTGAGGTCAGGAGTTCCAGACCAGCTTGGCCAATATGGTGAAACCCTGTCTATACTAAAAAATACAAAAATTACCCAGGCATGGTGGTGGGTGCCTGTAATCTCAGCTGCTGAGGAGGCTGAGGCACAAGAATCACTTGATCCCAGGAGTGGGAAGGTGGAGGTTGCAGTGACCTAAGATCGTGCCACTGCACTCCAGCCTGGGTGACAGAGCAAGACTCTGTCTAAAAGAAAAAAAAAAAAAGTATCAACTGGTTATAAATGTTCTGAGATGATCAAAGCCTGATTTCAAAATCTGGCCTGCTCCTGACCAGCTGTGAAATCTAATATCAGTAATTCCAACTTTTTGTATTTTGGTTTCCTCACTTGGAAAATCGCCATGCGGGTGAAATATGTTCAACTTATGTACAGTGCTTAGAACAGTGCCTGGCCCACAGGAAGTATTCAGTAATATCAACTTACATTACGACCTTTTCTCTTCTTCTAACCTAATGATCGAACCTCCAAAGCTGGGCCCTAGGCTAATCTGAATAGCTGCTCTAAAGTTCTATTAGAGGCAGATTAATTTATTCTTATATGCATAAATCAGTTTGAGCTGTTTCTCCTGTCTTGATGTCCTCTTAAAGACCCACAGACATGTTTGTGGCTTTGAAAACATAAGTTAAAGGAGATATTTGGCATTTTCTGGCTTAACAGACCCAAGGGTGACTGACAACTCCATTCCCCAGGACCAGAAAAAATTTAATACGCATTTCTCCCTCTCCACCACAAGGCACACATCCATACCCTTCCTCCCCGCAAGGAGACTTCTGGCTTCTTGTTCTTGAATCTACAATTTTAGGCTGAAAATATGCACCCAGTCAGATGTGTGCACGTAGTCAGAGAAACTGACATTTCTTTAGTCTAACTACTCAATTCATGGGGCAGTGCCTGCTGCAGAGACACGGAAGCTGCAGCCTGACTTTTCAACCATTTGGGGGATTGGATTTCCTTGCAGCTTTGCACAAATATGTATCTCGGCAATACCTGCCAAGTTCTGTGTGTCCCCTGAAGGCTGCCATGCCCCTGAGCCCAGAAATTAACACTCCCTAAATGAACACACTGAGAACTAATGGACTAGCACTCTCATGAAGGAAAGAATCTCTTCATCTCATAGTATACTCTGAATTGAGTGGAATCAGCTCTCGACTAACTTTCCCTTCCTGCCAAAGAGATTAACATACTCGCTTTTATTTACTAAATGTTTACACAGTGCTGGCTACATACAACTCTTCCTCTATCAACCCATTTAATTCTAATAAACACCTACAAGTTTGTTACCATCATCTCCATTTAACAGATGAGGAAACTGAGGCACAGAGAGGTTAAGTAACTTGCCCAGAGTCACACTGCTGGTGAGTAGGGGAGGCAGAATTTGATCCTGGGCTGTGTGGGCATAGATTCCATGTTCCTCACTCAGCCAGAGGTGTCTTCTCAGGAGGTAGGATTCCCAGTACGATCATGGAAAGCCTGACTGCTAAGTCTCTTTCCCTGTAAGAGTGAACACAGCTATTCTGCAGTGTTGGAATCCCGGGACTCAGCCCAGGCTCCTGGAAAAACACGCACATGAGGAGCAACTGCAAACATCGTCTACGTAAAATCAAGAAATCGGTTATCCTGTTAAGCCTTTCCAGATGTACCACATTTTTTAACTTAAATTTTATCAGACTGGTTGTTGTACCACAGCAGCTAAGTTTTCTGTGTTCCCTTCTCATCTATGAGGGTCAGTGTTTAGGATCAGAAAAATGGTGAAAGCTAAGCAGCCCAGGAAGAAACGAGGCAAGGGTATGACTTACCGTCAAGAGGTTACTACATGCGTGGGTCTAGATCAACGGATTATATCTTTTTCCTTATTAAAAAGCAAGAGCCACACCAAAGACTTCTTTTACATATCCATGTGGCAGATCGACTACTAAGGTCCTAGGTATTCAATGCAGCCTTGTTCATGAGCAAGGAGACATACAGGCAGTAGTGTGGGCCCAAGCCCAGGACAGCGAGACATGAAATCTCAGCCACTACTGCTTCTGGGTTATGCTCTCCCAAACTTTCTAAGAGAATGGATTTCCCCGTTGAGAGGTAACTAGTGCTTAGGCAGGGAAGAGGTGAGGAGAGACATATTCTGGAAGGCAAAGTAGAGAGAAATGGAATTGCTACGGGAAACTGATTAACGAACAAAGACAGACAACTTACTATTTAGGTATCCAAATAGGCTTTCCCTTGGCAATTCCAAATCACTCCCGCATTACTGGAATAATTAAGCCAACTCAGTTCTCTGCTTTGCCAGGAAAAAGGAAGTGTAACCCCAAATGGAAATGTATGGCTAAAACACACATTCAGGCACATTGAAATACAGTGAGCATCAGCAGCTCTCCATTTGTTCAATACACGATTGAACAAAGTCACAATGCTTTTTTAGGGCAAAATCAATGTGAATTGTCCTAAGGAGCAGTGGCTCCATGCTGACCCCCGACCGTGAAACTTACACAATTCCCTTGTAATTTTTAAACTGTTTTAAGCACTCTTGATTTTGCCCAAAGAAATCATTCAGAACTTGTTAGGAATTCACTTGCTTCAGGTGATTTTACAAAACCCATTCTTTCTTGGCAGGCAAAGCACATTTAGAACACGCCAATAAGACTTCGTGCAAAGGGAAAGTCTTTACCTGCATAGAATTCGGGACTGTAGACTGCTCCCACAACTGGATTCAATTTCCAGCCTTAAAACAAATAGACAAAAACATTATCACATTTGATTTAACAACTTACATAATTGCATATGAATCACAAACCAAATGGGGTAAAGTATCTTATGTTGTGTTTTAAAATGTAAAGGAGATGTCATTGGGGCGTGCATAAAACTATTTAAAAACCACACAGATGAAAATAGATTCATAATATTTAAAAACGTAAGTAAGACAATAGCTTAATGCCCTTTCTTGATTTTCTGCCAGTGCGAGTTAATGGGATGGAAACTACTGACCAGTCACAAGTGAACACTTCGAAAATGACATGGTAAGTAATTTTCTACTATATCAATATTTTTTAGAACTGTAATTTCAATTTTTTGTCTTATTTCATATATCACTCCCAGATAATCCATCACACCCTTTTGCATTAAGTTCACAAAAATAAGAAAGCTCACATCAACAAAATTCTTGGCAGCAAAGGACTCTAACAATTGTCATTCCTAATTATAACTCCTAGATACTAGAGAATTCCAAAGTGCTTTGTGAACACCAAAGAAAATGATATTTTATCCCCTAGAGATTTACTGCGGAATATATTTTAATGCATTCAGGAATAGTAAAAAATTCGTAATCAGTGCATGATATCTAAGGTAACTTTCAAATAACCTGTATACATGATTAATGGTATTCTGTAGTTTCCCAAATGTTCTGGATGAAGAGTTTCCCATAAAATGAATCTGGACCCTTTAGAAATCTTTTCTCAAAAAAGAACATACAAGATTATTCACAAATTGGAAAGCACATTACATATACATTGGGCATTATTTAGGAAACAATTTCCAGAGAATGATCACGTTTTAGGGTTTTATGATTGTTTCCTGCTCTTGCTGATTGTTTATAAAAACACCTATGCAGACCAGGTGTGGTGGCTTACTCCTGTAATACCAGCACTTTGGGAGGCTGAGGCAGGTGAATCACGAGGTCAGGAGTTCAAGACTAGCCTTGCCAACCTAGTGAAACCCCATCTTTACTAAAAATACAAAAAATTAGCTGGGTGTGGTGGCAGGCACCTGTAATCCCAGCTACTTGGGAGACTGAGGCAGGAGAATTGCTGAAACCCAGGAAGCGGAGGTTGCAGTGAACCAAGATAGCACCATTGCACTCGAGCCTGGATGACAGCTAAAGACTCCGTCTCAAAACAAAACCAAAATATGAAAACATTCAAGCATGCCGCGTACAATGGATCGTGCCTGTAATCTCACCACTCTGAGAGGCCAAGGCAGGCAGATCACTTGAGGCTGGGAGTTCAAGACCAGCCTGGCCAACATGGCGAAACCTTGTCTCTACTAAAAATACAAAGTAGTACCAACTGTTTCAGAGGATAAGGCATGGGAATCACTTGAACCTGGGAGCCAAAGGTTGCAGGGAACTGAGATCACGCCACTGTGCTCCAGACTGGATGACAGAGACTGTCTCCCCACCAACCCCCAAAGAAAACAACCTACACAATCCTTGAAAGACAGGAAAGTAAGGTGTGCACTCTTTTTCTCTGAGTCCTTGAGCAGAGGGTCAAATGCCAAAGATCCTTTAAAAAATGTTTCGGAGAAAAGGGAATGATAAAGGTTTGACCGTGAATGAAGTTTTTTTTTTTGTTTTAATTGTACTTTAAGTTATGGAGTCCATGTGCCGATCTTGCACGATTGTTGCGTAGGTACACACATGCCATGCTGGTTTGCTGTCTCCATCCCCTGGTTACCTACATCAGGCATTTCTCCCAGCGTTATCCCTCCCGAACTTTTTCTGAGGTTTGCTGAGAAGGGAGAGGTGTGACTTTCTCTCTGGCCTAAGAAATAGCCCAGAGGTGTTCCTAGTGTTTTACTGAGGAAAACAGAGGCTCGCTAACTCCATAGACAGGCTAGTACGTCCACTGAAATCCAGAACTTTCTAAAACTTGATAAGAATGTTTTCTTTCTAAGAACTGTCAATGCCAACTTGAATAAGCTAGGTGGTTTACAGCCCCCAGGATGATCTTAGAGTAGCGTTTTTCAACATGTTATACTTCGGTTACCTGGGAGGCATATTCAATTTCTGGGCCCCATTTTTAGACAGAAAGAAACATAAAATTCTGAGACCTACTGCCCTAGCAGTTTCTGCAGTTTCATCCTGACGCTCTCCTCTCTTGCATTAATCACATCTTGCCTTATAAGAATTTCTATACTGATGTAAAAATAAATATTAGTTCAGACATTTCAGAATGTGTTTTGAGTATCTCGAAAAACTTCAATTTGACCAACTGAAATTACACGGCTTCCTTTTAAAAAGTCCAATTCCTGAGGATATGGGAATTAATGTCTACATTTCAACTTGGAGTTTAGGAAAAACTATAGAAAACTAGTCGAAAATTAAGCTGCAGACATATTTGATGTTCCGTCTTTCTAGTTTTTCACAGACAGTGAAGTCATATTAAATGAACAGTTATTAAGTGATCACTCCTCTTCATCTTCCCACTGTCCCCCGTCTCACACGCTACTGATGTTCTTATTGGTAGTGGAGATGGTGTCTTTTCCATACTCTTCATCTCAGGTTTCGTTTCTTGAATATCCTTACTACCTTAAATACCTTGTTTTGCGTATAAGACTTCCTTTTCCTTTTCACCGAACGTATACTTATCAATGAATTTTGGTGTAACTCATAAAGATTTTATCTTTGCTGGTGGCCTCTCATTTTCTAAAAACAAAGCAAAAAAGGCCAGATCTCTCAGAGGCATTTGAGGCTGCCTAGAAATCATGTTTATCTCATCGGCCTACCTACCTATCCATCGATTACTCACCTATCTATAAACTTACCTATCATCTGTCTATTCACCTGTAATCTGCTGTTTATTTCCATCTCTCTGTAAATTATGAGTTTGCCAAGTCTAACCACTTGGTAATATCTGTCTTCATATAAAAATCATATTAAAATAACCGAAAATAAACGATACTCTCCCCCTCAGGAGATCTGGCCTATCTCATGTTCGCAAGTATCAATTGTGAGAAAGGTACTGATAGAGTCTCTTCTACAAGAAACCAACTGGGAATCTGCGTGCTGCAAAGTGAAATGCTTGGGTCATCATGGGAACATTAGTGCAGGTGTCAGCCTTCTTCCCATCCTTGATCCCTTCTCTTAAACAAGGCTACCCAACTCCCATTGTAGGAAACCAAAGGCATTTCTGAACTCTATGACAGCATGAAAATCCAACTTCCGGTTTCCCTCTTTTCCCTCTACTCATAAAACCTATTACTCAGTAAGTCCTTCTCTCTTCAAATGGCATCCCCATCCGCTTGGTTGTGCCAAATAAAATCCATCATCAGTACTTCCTTGATTCGTCTCTTGTGCACTTCTCTTGATTCTACCCATTCTTGATTCTTCTTTCTAATGCAATCCATTAGAAAGTCCTGTTGGTTAAAACTTGAAAAGTTCTCTCCTTCTCCATTGTCACCACTGCAGACCAAGGCATTCCTGTATCTCCCTGGACAGGTCCAACAGCAAAAAATGCCCTAACTCTTACTGTCTCCTCTTCCACCCTCCCCCTGTCCATTCTGGTCCTGGTGACCAAAGCAACTTTTAAAAAGAACGTCAGCTTTGTCATCCTTGTACTTGGCATGCAGTAGGTCCTCCCAGACTGAAGCACAAATGTCTTGCCGTAGTCAGTAAGCACAAGCTAACTATTGACTACACTGTTCGCTGCCCCTTTGGAACCAAGTCGCTTTATTTTCCTGTTCCCTTCTCTCCCAGCTGCAGTGACACTGGCCATTTTCACCTGTATAACCCCTCCCCGCCAAGATCACTGTATAACAAAGTTTTTTTGTGCCCACTTCTCCCTCTGCTGGAGAACTCTCTCTAGCTCTCCACAAAGTCGACGTGATGTTATTTAGGTCTCTGGAGTCTTCTCAGAACATGCCACTTATTAATGTCACTTTCCCACCTCCTCTTAGTTACTCTGTGATTCCACAATTCCATTCCCAGTTTTATTTTCTGCACTGCATTAATGCTTTGTGGATTTAGATTCTTTCTTTCTTTGCTTGCTAATAATTGTCTTTTATAACCATTCTCCCTCATTTATTTTTATTTTTATTTATTTATTTATTTTTCTTGAGACGGAGTTTCGCTCTTGTTACCCAGGCTGGAGTGCAATGGCGCGATCTCGGCTCACCGCAACCTCCACCTCCTGGGTTCAGGCAATTCTCCTGCCTCAGCCTCCCGAGTAGCTGGGATTACAGGCACGCGCCACCATGCCCAGCTAATTTTTTTGTATTTTTAGTAGAGACGGGGTTTCACCATGTTGACCAGGATGGTCTCAATATCTTGACCTCGTGATCCACCCGCCTCGGCCTCCCAAAGTGCTGGGATTACAGGCTTGAGCCACCGCACCCGGCCCATTCTCCCTCATTTAAATTAACAGTAAAGCAGGCAAGACTGCTGTCCAACATGAATCTCCAGCATCTAAAACGATGTTGGGTGAAATAAGCATTCCATAAACATTTGCTTGGTTTTTCTCTAAAGAAACTAAAGGAATATAGAGGGGTGTTTTTTTTTTTTTTTTTTTGTTTTCTGTTTTTTGTTTTTTTTTTACTAAGGAACTAATTTTATTTTGGCTATGATTATGTCTCCTTCCAATCTCCGAGGACCTGTTCATTCCTTAGGCTATACGTTAAATAAGAATCCTGTTAGAGATGACTGTCATTTCAGTTGCTTAGTTGAAATCTACTTTCTTTATGGAGGCGTTTATTGCTGTAAACTTTCTGATTAGCTCTGCTTTTGCTGTATCCCACAGACTCTGGTATGCCCCGTTTCCATTTTCATTTAGATCAACATTTTTTTTATTGCATTTTAGGTTTTGGGGTACATGTGAGAACATGTAAGACTGTTGCATAGGTACACACATGGCAGTGGGGTTTGCTGCCTTCCTCCCCATCACCTATATCTGGCATTTCTCTCCACGTTATCCTTCCCCAACTCCCCACTCCCCCATCCCTCCCTGAGATCCC